AAGCTCTCATATGGGATTTAGTCAACACATGGAATCAGTTTGTGAAAGTCAAATGCCAAGCTTAAAGAAGACATTATCCATTTGTTGAAAATGGACGTAAGATTTCTCTCATTCTTTCTCTCTCCCCCCTGTCTAGCTGAAAGGATCTTGTTTCACCTGCTATAACTGCAAACAAACAAAATAATATCTAAGGAGATAATATTGTGGAACATGAAAATGATAGACGAGAATAGAAATGGAGTCAACCTAGATTCCAAATAATGTTTATCTTACAAGATCCATTCTTTGTTTCCATTCTCTAAGCTTAAAAGCCCAGAGTTTGGATCCAGAATCTAGACCCAGAATCTAAATCAATTGGAAAAACAATCTGATCTGGTATAAGGAACTCCCTGAACAGAACACAACACAACACAAATAAAAAGAGATACTGGTAGTCCTTGACTTATGACTGTTTCTTTAATAATGTTCAAAATTACAATGATCTTGGAAAAAGCTATTTATAATATTTACTGGCATTTATGACTGTTGCACCATCCCCATGGTCACATGATCACAATTTATGTGCAACTAGTTGTAGCATCCTGCAATCCCGGGATCATGATTTACAATCTTTTTTGCCAGTTTCTGTCAAAAATGTCCATTGGGGAAGCTGAAGTTGTTTAATGATCATGCGATCCACTTGAAATCAGGTCTTGTCGTGTGGGGATTTGACTTACAACCACACTGACTTACACCTGAAATTTTGTTCTCAATTGTCATAAATCAAGGACTGGGTGTAGATTTTTTAATATACATAGTTTAGTATTTCATTCAAAATATTTGATCTCTCCTTTCCCCCTCTTCTCCTTTCTTTTTTTGTAGGTTACAAATATATTTGATGCTGTTATTAACATATAATGCCTATAATTAAAATTGTAATGATTTTAAAATTCAAGAGAGAGAGAGAGAGAGAGAGAGAGAGAGAGAGAGAGAGAGAGAGAGAGAGAGAGGGAGGGAGAGAGGGAGGGAGGGAGAGAGAGAGAGAGAGAGAGAGAGAGAGAGAGAGAGAGAGAGAGAGAGGGCAAAAGGAGAATTTTCTTCTGGAAAACTTGAAGTGGTTTGATTTTTGCTTTCCAGCAAAACATTTTTTCTACTTCTCAACTCAGTCTGTAATGTTGGGGTTTCCCTGATGGTCCCCCATCCAAATACTAATTCTATTTAGCTTTTCAAAGTCATTGAAGGTCATCTGGGTGCTGAATGCAGTGTGAAAGAAGGGCTCAAGTCCTGATACATATTACAATTTAATGCAAATCATTCTGTGTTACCTCTCTGTCTAATGGTTGTCTGAGCCAAATGACACCCGTCATGCTTTCCACTGCAAAGAATCTGCTGGCTTCCTCCCCTACTACTCCAAATACAAGGGGGTCATTGTCTAGGTCACGGGCAAGCAGCTGTGTTACTGATGAACCTATAAAAGGTATCAAAGGAAGAAAAATCATGAATTAGTTAGCAGCGTCATGAAAAGAACTGTGTTCAAACACTAGCATTTCTGTACTCAATAAAAATGAGTCACACGCATTGTAGTAGTTAGCAAAAATTTTCTGAAGTAGACTGTGAGAATTTTAAAAAGTTAGTTGGCCGAAACAAGCATCTGTTCTTATCAGGAATTCAACTTTGACAGCTGCAAAATAGACATATAAAAGAAAATGACATATACACTGTGGAGTTTATATACATTATCCAGCTTCTAGGTAACTTCAAAATTTGCATATTATGGGTTTGGGAAGGCAGTTGCCTGCAATACAAGTAAAAGAAGCACAGCATATTTGTACATACAGATTTAAGGAGACTAAACTTAGGACCAACATGAACATCTGTTCTGTGTGAAGTTTTTTCCCACTCTTCTCCTGAAAATCTTACAGCAGGTGTCCACCATAAGTAGAATATTACGTAAACAACCAAAAGGCTCACAGGGAACATGGCCTCAGAACAAGTGATAGATGTCATGATATTATTTCATTTTATTTCAAGGGGATTGCATGAAGTAATGGCATATACAGGAAGTACTTAGTGAGATATATTAAAAATCCCCCTGTCAGCATCCCAGCACTGACATATAATAAAGAGAGGAGAAGCCTGAACTTTTGCCTACTAAATCCCTTTGAAGATTCTGTCTCCTTGGAGATGGGAGGGGGGGAGACATTCCTGTGATCTGATGAAGAAGGGATCAGGAAAGTGACTTGGAAGATAGCCAATGAGAAGCAGAGAATTGGGGATCAGAAAGGGAGGGATTGGGGGGCAAAGGTCAGTACTGACCGTGAAAGAGTCAGGATCAGATTGCTGTGCTTGAATAGAGAGAAAATTTCCTTAAAGATTGGCAGTTTGGAAATTCATTTATTTTGAGATAGCATCGAAACCTGACACCCCCTCTTCGCTGAGAAAGATTTATTTAAAATTAAGAAACAGCATTCTGTTTCCAAGTCAATATTTTATAAAAATATTGGGACGGAAGACTATAAGGGGTTTATTTCCCTTGAAAAGATTGTATATGTGTCTGCAGGACAGTAGAAGTCCACCACCCCAAGGTACTGACATGTGTCCCTTGAAGTCCACCATCCCAAGGTACTGACATGTTCCCCCAGTAATGGTTTCCATTACTGTTCCTCAAGAATAGACCTTCAAATCATCTCCTATTATGAGCCACAGTGGCGCGGTGGTTAGAATGCAGTACTACAGGCTACTTCTGCTGACTGCCGGCTGACTGCAATTTGGCAGTTTGAATCTCACCAGGCTCAAGGTTCACTCAACCTTCCATCCTTCCCAGGTGGGTAAAATAAGGACCCAGATTGTTGGGGGCAATAGGTAAACTGCTTAGAGAGGGCTGTAAAAGCACTGTGAAGCGGTATATAAGTCTAAATGCTATTGCTATTGCTATTCAAATGGATTTAAAGATTTTCTTGATTGGTTTGTGTTTTGATAGGCCATGCTGTCCCTTTTAAGCTACATTGTCCAAGCATTCCACAGAATAAGCAGTTATCACCCCTCACTAAAGAGAGGTAGGTATAAGGAGTTCTCCTTCTCCTTTTGCCTATATATTTGAGACCCAGTGTGTCTTTCAAGGTGAGAAATATCAAAATTCAGCTATTCCCAGTCCAAAAGACAACTATCTGAAATTTAAAATCAGTATGTCTCAAAGGTGCTTTTTTCAAAACACAACTGGACTAAGTTTTTTTCCTTGAGGAAGAAGAAGAAGTTTTGCTTCTCATCCAAGAAGCTTCATCAGTTCTTGAATAAGAAGTGAAACATCTCCCTCAAGGAAAACACATAGTCCAGTTGCCTTTTGCAAAAAGCACCCTTGAGACAACCATGACCTGGATGACTGAGAATCTCCACGGACATCTAAAATCAATAGTTGCAAATAGAAATTGATAAACGATTGAAAATAAGTAGGTATCTTTCCCTGCTGACCTTAACTGACCTTTCTGATTGATATCCATTTTGCTCATTATTCTATTGTAAATTCTACTATTAATCAGTTTTCCATGCATTCTTATTCTGCATGTTCCTCTCAGTTCAAGAGCATCCAACCAGGTGAGTGGGTGGAAAATTTAAATCAAAGTCAAAATGGTGACTATGTCCCTCTTCAGGTGGACCATTCATATGATGCTTCATTCAAAAGTGGCCAACATTTTGCCCCCGCCCCCATCCTTGTTTCATTTTGCCCACATTGGACAATTGGTATATGAGAATCGGTTTGGTCTTGTGGTTAAAACACTAAGCTAGAAATCAGGAGGCTGTGAGTTCTAGTCCCGTTTTAGGCGTGAAAGTCAGCCAGGTGATATTGGGCTGGTCACACTCTCTCAGCCCAATGCACCTCACAGGATTCTTGTTGAGGAGAAAATAGGAGGCTACCTGGAGTTATTTATAATTTATAATAAAGGTGGGATATAAATAAATAAATATATTTAATATAATTAGCTACGTATTAATACAGCTACATTGTCACAAGTAACATTATTTAATAGTATAATGTAATAAAATATATTAAAAGAGATTTTGGACATTTCCGTAAATTATATTTATTCCATCATTTTATTCCAGTAAGTTTCAATAATAGGCTGAAATGGGTATTGAACAGGTGTCTTTTCTTAATATATTTACTTCTCTTCTGTTTTTAATCCAAAAAAGATATGTTGAAAATAAAATCCTGCTAGCAAACATTAGTACTCAAATTATTTTGCATCCCAGCTACAGATTTCTGTTTTATCTGTAATCATTACTTTCTCTGTACTTGGTGCCAAGTCCTTCCTTTTCCTTTTCCATTTGGCATTACTAAACACAGCAAGCTTTAGAGTTTAGAACATAATTTGATCACATGTATACATTTTAAAAAATATATTTTTTCTTCTTCAGTACAGTTACTGCAAGCAACTGTATCCATCCCCTCTTCACTGCAGTACAGATATAGATATTCTTAGCCAAACCCATTTCCCTGCAATGTGGCTCTGATCGTGAGAACTTGAATTGTTTTTGAATATTTCAAATTTTAAAAGCCACATTTTCTATTCAAAATAAGACCTACTTTAAAAAAACACATACACACATATATTTGTTTCTCTATGGCTGGCAAAATTATACAAGAGACGGCTGATTTGGGGTGATATCATTTTTTTTGAGAAAACATAGGGTAAAATCTTTTGCTAGATGCATATATAGTTTGCATGTTTAGAAGCAGAGCACCCGTGTCACCCGTGTCTTTTCTTCTGAAGAAGAATTTTATTGCCATGGCCTCTGGAGGGTCTACTTTGCATTAAAATAATCTGAGAGATTTTGATATCAGAATTCACAGCCATGTCTCAAGCATCCCAGAAACATGATTTTGGTTCTTAGCAACTATGCTGGCTCAATAACAGATCCAACCACCCCTTTTCCTACCAGATGGTTGCCCCTAATGCTGTGGTTTCCCCAACCCAGTGTTTGTTAGCCCTTCAAGACAGGCTGAACAAGAAACACAACTGGAACATCATCATCATTGTCTTTATTGTAAGGTTTCATTAAACAGAAACTTCCAAGTCCGAAAGTACCATTTCTCCCTTCTTTTCTTTTTAGTCTCTGGAAAACTAAGGAGGGTCCCTTCTGAAATGCTTCCTATGTTTTCCCCCCATCTGCAGACTGAGCGGCTTCTAATCAGTTCATTGCCTAAGATTCCTTCTGTCTTCCTCCTGTCCCCAAGGTCATTCTCACACACCACCATAGTCTTGAAGAACTTTGCCATCTTCATGTTAAAGTTAAGAAACAGATTAACCAAGAAGGGCTACTCATGAGTGAGTTGCTAAAGGAAACCAAGACTGACTAGGTTACATACATCTGTAAGACACTTTGGGTATTTGGGGAGCAATGCAAAGGTGGTGGTGAAACAATGCCTAACTGTGAATAACCCCGTTGCTCCCAATGTGACAGATTCATAGCTTTAAGAATATCCCTGGGCATTTGACTTTGGCTTATAGTCTGACTTCTCAATTTGTTTACTCCTTGGATGTGCTTTTCTTAGGTGAGCTTAGATTTATGTTCTGAACTTGGACTAGATTTATGATCACAAGATTAATCAAATGGATTTATTACACAGTAACATAGAATTACATGACATTCATGAGGCCAGGATAACAGCAAAGCAGAGTAGCTTTGACTGAAACAGAAGGGGCTGGCCACTTCATATCAAAGAGGAGAAATGGCTATAGGAAGTAGCACTGAGATAAGAAAGACCTCCAAGCTGTTGGCTTTAAGTCAGTTAGGCTAAGAAAGAGATACCCAAACTGGAATTGGGGCACCTTTCTATAGGTCCTTGCTTCAAAACTGCCCTCTTATTAGACTGGCAGATTTTACATAATTATTTCTTACTTAACTGAATATAATAAGAGTAGAGTAGAGTAGAGTAGAGTAGAGTAGAGTAGAGTAGAGTAGAGTAGAATAGAATAGAATAGAATAGAATAGAATAGAATAGAATAGAAATAGAATAGAATAGAATAGAATAGAATAGAATAGAATAGAATAGAATTCTTTATTGGCCAAGTGTGATTGGACACACAAGGAATTTGTCTTGGTGCATACGCTCTCAGAGTACATAAAAGAAAAGATACATTCGTCAAGAATCATAAGGTACAACACTTAAATATAGTCATAGGGAAACAGTCAATATAAATCTTAAGGATACCAGCAACAAGGTTACAGTCATACAGTCATAAGTGGAAGGAGATGGGTGGTGGGAACGATGAGAAGATTAATAGTAATGCAGACTTAGTGAATAGTTTGACAGTGTTGAGGGAATTATTTGTTTAGCAGAGTGATGGCGTTTGGGAAAAAACTGTTCTTGTGTCTAGTTGTGTCTAGTTTATGGTGGTCATTAACCAGTACAAGAGAATTCATATTCAGATATTCATAATATCCAAAACTGAATTGACAATTCTTGCTCAGGCTACACATATAATAACAAAAAGAAATTAAAGTTAGCAATCAGGATGATATAAACTTGGAATAGCAGTAAACAATATAAATGCTATAGAAATTCATATACACATATGCATATGAACACATACTTACAAAGTTTCTCACACATGTGTGTGTACATATAAATAAAATAGAAATATCCAAAATTGATTTAAGAATTATAAACTTATCTTAAAGACACCTATCAAACCTGAGAAAAATAACAGCTGGCATGGCACGTACACCCCAAAGCCAATGATTAATGCTGAGTGTGAATCATTTTTGGTTATCCATTTTTGACCATATTCAGGCAGGTTCAATTGCTCTTAATTATTGTTTGCCTAATTTGCATGCCACCACATACATAAGCTGGAAACTTTGTATGTTATTTCACAAGTATTTCAACCTATGTTTGCAAATATGCATTTGCATTCAAGGGCAAACATTCAAGGGATGTTGTGGAATAGCAACATCCAAATCTACAGTCCAGATATGGTATGAAACAGACTCTAGTCCTTCACTATACTTGCTGGTTTCAGCAGCTAATGATCTCCAGTTTTTACAGATTCTCTAGATTTGAAAATGTCCCCAAGTTTCTTTTTTTTAAAAAATCCCCACCCCTGAAGAAACTACACTATTTAAAAGAACAAAATTATTGCTTGCGGAAAGACCAACATTAACCCAGAAGATAACAGTCTGATTTTGCCCCTGCCTGAGACAATCTCAGGAAAAATGGATTTAAAAAAAATAAAAACTGGTATGTAAGTCACTCAGTAATGGAAGGGGGAGTAGCATCTCCACAGATTAATACAAAGACACCTTTCACAATTCAGCCTCTAGAATATTCATACAGTGGTGGACTGTATGATTTTATTCATTTTATTCATAAAACCCAGGAACAGCCAGAATTTGCAAAATTGTGGAGGTTTCCTTTTTCTTGGTGTTTGACTACATACAGTCTCTCCTATTTGTATGGATTGCATGGCTTGGTGGGCGTGGCTTGGTGGGCGTGGCAGGGGAAGAATACTGTAAAATCTCTATTCCCACCCCACTCTGGGGGAAGGTTACTGCAAAATCCCCATTTCCTCCTGATCAGCTGGGACTCGGGAGGCAGAGAATAGATGGGGGTGGGGCCAGTCAGAATTTTTACTAGCAGTTCTCTGAACTACTCAAAATTTCCGCTACCGGTTCTCCAGAACTGGTCAGAACCTGCTGAAACCCACCTCTGCAGAGGAGTCAAACTCACATCGTCACAGCAGCATCACCTGATGCATCGGGATTTTTCCCTCTTCGCTAAACAGGGTGTGGGCGTGGCCAGTGCGTGACACATCTGGCCCATGGGCCATAAGTTTGACCGCCCTGCTTTAGAGCATGACTGGCTCAAGAATCCTGGGAGTTGAAGGTCATAAAAGGCCCACAGTTGCCTGATTTAGAGATAGTTGCTCAACTCCTTAAAAATCTCCAGGGATAGATAGAAAATCCATAACCTCTTTAGATAGATTGTTTCAGTAACAAATTTTTCCCCTGATACATGTAAATGAATTCTTGTTAGCTGGTACATATATCTGTTATTTTTGGTCCCTTTTTTTTAACCTTTAGATTTTCTTCTTTTAGTTAAAAAGCATCCTTTGACATGTATTTTAATCCTTGTAAGATTAAATCCTTAAGACCTGCTGTTATATTTGCTTTGGGCTTGATCACAACAACTATGATTAGATCTCTGGTCCCACTTTCTGTGGCAATGGAAAATAGTTTATGAACATCTTCCCTTGATCACCCAATTTGCTTTGGGTGATCAAGCCCAAAGCAAATATAACAGCAGGTCTTAAGGATTTAATCTTTTTATGAACCCAAGGACATATCTCACTGAGCCTCTTCAGTCATCTTTTCTGCAGACTGAACATAGGAAGGAAGGAAGGAAGGAAGGAAGGAAGGAAGGAAGGAAGGAAGGAAGGAAGGAAGGAAGGAAGATAATGGACCATTAAATCAGAGTCAACTCACAGACAGAATTTCTCCAACAGAATTTGTCTTTAACCTAGTTCTTCAGGTCTTTCCTAGTGCATGTATCATTTGCTGAGTCCATCCATCCAGCTGCTGGTCATCCTCTTCTTTTTCATAGAGCTACTCAATCATCCTGGTCATGGTTGTCCCAAAGGTGCTTTTCAAAAGACAATTGGACTTTCTTGGTTTTCTCCTGGAAAATATTTCACCTCATGCAAGAAACCTCTTCAGTCCTGAAGAAGGTTCTTGGATGAGAAGCGACATGTTTTCAAAGGAAAAAAACCAACAAGGTCCAGCTGCCTTTTGAAAAGCACATTTGAGACCTCTTCTTTTTCATTCCACCTTTCCCAGAGAGCTATATGTTCATATAATATCCCTTGATAATGCCTCAAGTAAGAATTCTAGGTTGATTCGTTCTATGATCCATTTATTTATTTCTTCACTATCCACAATAGTCTCAATAATCTTCACAGTTTGACAGCATCGATACTCTTTGGATCCTGCTTCTTCAAAGACTAACTTTAACTTTCATGGCATATCACAGGAAAAAAAACATAGCTTACACTATTCTGACATTTGTAAGCATACTTACATCATGACATCCTACTATCTTTTCCAAGGCTTTCAAAGTTACACTCTTAAACCCACTTATGACTATATGACCGTAACCTTGTTGCTGGTATCCTTTATATTGACTGTTTCCCTAGGACTATCATTAAGTGTTGTACCTGATGATTCTTGACGAATGTATCTTTTATGTACACCGAGAGCGTATGCACCAAGACAAATTCCTTCTATGTCCAATCACACTTGGCCAATAAAGAATTCTATTCTACCATGTTTCCCCGAAAATAAGACCCTGTCTTATATTTTTTTGAACACTGAAAAAAGCGCTTGGCCTTATTTTCAGGGAGGTCTTATTATTTTGGGGCGCGTGGAGCAAGATGGGGCTCCTCTTGCCGTCTTACCTGATTTACAGCTCTGCGTTGAAATATTTTCGGGGAGGGCTTATTTTCAGGGGGAGGCTTATTTTAGCACATGCGCTCAAAAGCCCGATTGGGCTTATTATCAAGGGATGTCTTATTTTCGGGGAAAGAGGGTATTCTAAATGTCAGTGTTTTTCTTGACTGCTGTTTTCTTTGCTGTCAATGGTCCATCCTATAAAAGGAAAAGCTATCAACCATTTCAATATCTTCATTGTCAGCTCTATAACTGATTGCCATATCTGTGGTTATGGATTTGGTCTTTTTTTGTGTTTAATCTTACTCCCATTTTTTCCATGGTATTGCTTGACTTTCATCATGAGAGCTTGCAAATCATCTACATTTTTGACTATGAAAGTAGCACATAATATAGTGCGCATTATGGATGTTTCTTCCTCAATTTTAAAACCATCTTCTTCTATCTTCATCAATATAATATAACGCACACATGCATATACACACAATTATAATAGTATGGGGAATAACAGACTTATTCACATGGCTCTTATATATGGACTTTAGAAAGAAAATATATTCAGGTGTTGTTGTTGTTTTACTTGTTTACTTGAAGTGTTTAATTAGGAAGTGGAAGATTCTTGCAAAACCAGAGAAGATCCTATGTTCAGCTTATGTATGATCATCTGTTTTAATAATTCATTATCTCACAGCACCCATTCTCTCTTGGTTTTTGCCCAAAGACAATTCTGGGTGGATTCTGTTATCTTAAATAGGATCATTTTGGAGAAAGTTAACAATATCCTGAAAGTATTATTTTACTATTGTGAAGAACATCACCACAGCATCAAAC